ATATATATTTATTAATAATTTATATTAATTAAAATATAATATAAATAAATAAATAAAACAAAAAATAAAATAAATAATATATATTAATTAAAATTTTCTGTAATTAATAATAAAATAAAAAATAATAATCACAAAAAAACAAAAAAACACAAAAAATTATAAAATATAAATGATTAAAGGCTACTTAGAGATGTAATTAACACATGATAGAGGTGCCATTAGCCATCCCTAAAAAAAAAATACTACAACACGGTTTATCCCTAAAATATATAGCATTGCAGACAATAAAAACGTCATCATGACCTTAACAAGGATAACTTATCTCAGCCTTTAATATTTTGGGTGGGTTAGAATTTATTACACAATATAAAAAGGTCATGGTCTAACAATCGAATTTTTAAAATCTGATAATTTCAGAATTATTTTTTTTGTTGGGAACCATACATTCACATTTGAATTGTTAAAACACGATCCTACTTCCGTTGATATAAAATGAAAGAAAAACAGGTGAATTTACAATTATACTTTTGTTGTCAAATCTTTGCAAATTTACACTTATTTTTAAGTCAAATCAAGCATTGGGTATGCGTAGTTAGCAAGGCGGAAGATCCTTAGGCGGAGGACGGACGGCCTGATCTTTACCCGGACCATCTTCTACCACAAACGCCGTCTTCAATCCCCAACCAGTATGCAGCTCCAAATGACAGTGAAAAAACCAAACACCTGGATTGTCGGCTTTGAAGCGAATGGCAGACCAACCACCCGTAGGAACACCCACGGTGTTTCTTTCTGGTGGATCCACCAAGTTATAATTGGCTGGATCCTTAGCCGGATCAAAGTTCCCAATGCCTGTTCCCACAACAAAGAAATTGTATCCGTGAAGGTGAAACGGATGGGATTCAACGCTCAGTAAATTTGTGTCTTGGATCACAAGTTCAACTATTGAATTGAAGGAGATTTTGCTCAGTCTGGTTCCATGAGAAGTGAAAAGGTTCGCAGTCAAGGGTGCACCCGTGTAGTTGAAGGCTTTTGGTGGCTTATCGGGGAAATCGGCTCTAAACACCCCTTTCTTGTTCCAGTAGTGAGCTTGGAGAAGCCCGGTTTGGGGCATCACAAACGTAATGTTGTTCAGTGAAGCCGAAAGTCGGGTTCCGTTGATGCAGGTCGGACACACGCTCTTTCCTAAGCCGACGGTGAAAAGAAGTTTCCGGTCGACCTTCAACGGAACATTTGCTGGAAAGTTCCGAGTGTTGAGGCTCCGGAGCTTCTTGTTATAGCTTAAAGCAAATGCGGTGTCGTTTGGTGATGGTAGCTGAGGGAGTGATGGGAGAACGGTTTCAGGAATGCCTTTGTACTGGAAAATGGCGGTGGCGGTTTTGTTGTCGACCGGAATTGGAACGTCCTGGAAGGGTCGGACCGCCATGAAATAGCGTCCTGGAGCACGGTTGGCATAAACTAAAACGTTGGTGGTTTGRCCAGGGGMGATTAGTATGGCGGARGTGGTRAAGGGTTTGGTATAAACGGCGTCGATTTCGACCACCGTCATGTTGTGGCCTGCCACTGCAAAGAAGAGTTCGTCGTTGAGGGCAGCGTTTGCGATCCTCAAAAGGTATTTCTTCCCTTGCTCAACTTCCATGGCAAAGGTATCTGATCAAAAAACACAAACGATCGATCTTCAGAACATAGTCCAGAATAATTAGAGTTGTGGTTAAATTAATTATAAACGATAATTTCTTACGTTTTTCCGAACAGGGAAAGAGGGGACCAGGTTTGCCATTGATGGTGTGGGCATCAGACATGTTTGGAGGCAATCCCATTGCATTCCCCTTCTTCACAATCTCCTCAACATCACCATGCCACCATTCTCCTGCATCATCACGCACACATTTAAAAACAAATAGAATCAAACTCACCGACTAAAATTTAAAATGATTAAACCATACCAAACCAGACCATATATATATAGACCCGGTATATCAACCCCAAGGTGCATGGTTTGAAAGGGTAAAATGTATGCAAATATTACATATGTCCCAAAAGACAGAGGGGTTGTTTATGAAAACACCCGACATGCAATTGGAATAAATGAACTTGAGAAAAAGAAATTAGAGCGAGAATTTCAGTACCAAACACCAAGACTTGTTCGTTATCGGGCTGAGGAAATGGATATGGAGTTCCTTGTTTGGGCAAAATGACAATGGCACCATAGACGGTAGCTCGCAGCCAAAAAATATGAGCATGCCACCACAAAGTCCCTCTTTGTCCCGTGACGTTGAAGTCATAAACGTAACTATTTCCTGTTTGAATGGGACATTGTGTTATATATGCAGGTCCATCTGCCCATCCGTTAGCGTATTGTTTCAACCCATGCCTAATAAACCAAACAACAAAAAATTTAAACATAAGTTATAATTCAAACCTAGCTAGTGGCAATGTCAATCGAGCAGAACTTGATCATCATATGTTATAAAGTATGTATATATACCAATGAATCGACATGTTATATTGGGCATGATTTGAAACGTTGATGATAACTCTATCGCCTTCTCTAGCGTATATATATAGTAGGCCCTGGAAACCTTCCGTTTACGGTTACAATAGGTTTCGCATGGCACAATCTGCTCACGTTGTTCACTTGTAGCTGTTCATAAATCAATACAGTCACGATGATTAGGAAACAATAAGTCGGAAAACTATTATTCAGCTCATTTTGTTAATTTATAATCTGCATTTTATGTGGGTCCCTATTTAAGGAGACCATTAATTAAAAAGGGTTAAGATGGTATATAAATTGGGGATGAACTCACATCAAACTGATACTTCTTGGTAGCAGCCTCCGCCTGAAGAGAACCTAACAACACAAACCCGAAAACAAAAAGAAGCAGGCTGCC